CCCCGCCCCCTGCCCCCCTGGGCCCCCCCCCCCCCGGCCAGGCTGCTGGCCCAGTGCCCAGAGCACACATGTGGCTGGGGACCTGCTCCCAGCGGGCCTCACTGAGGACAGCCAGGGGCCTTCCCTGGGAGGGACAGGCGATGCTGGGCCCCTCTGCATCCGTCAGGGCCAGGGGAGCCCCACTGCGGGCGACAGGGCTCTTTCTGCCTGCCCACCTCCCTTCCCCTTTTTGCTAATGGCACCCCAGCCTGCTTTGAGGAGCAGCCTCCCCCTGTGAGTACAGACTCAGGGGCCCCACCCTCACCTTGGTCAAACCCAGGTCTGGCCAGTCAGCAGGTGTCACTTCCCCTACCTCTGTCCGTGTCACACAGGTTGGTCCAGGTCTGGGCAGGTAACCTTAGTCAAACCAGTGATACTCCTGGATATGTGCAAACACCTAGCAAAGGCGAATGGCTGAGCACAGAGCCAGGGAGACTCAGATGTGTCGGCCTGGGTTGACCTCTAGTTCAAGCCATACCTGAAACCAGTATCCCTGGCATCTCCGATTGCCTGAGGCAGCACAGTTCCAGTTTTATTCATGCCTGATTGGGTTGGGTTTTTGTCACTTTTGGGAGAGCCGTCACTAACACTCTTTGGGTCCTAAAAAGATCCCTACAGGTAGGCTGTGTCCTGGCTCCACCCTGACCCACCCTGTGTGCCTTTAAACAAATCAGCTCCAGGAGCTTTGGTCTCTATGTCATGGGGACTGGGTGCTCACAATGGCCTCTCATTGTGAGAGCATCCTCCACTCTGTGCCATCAGGAGGACGTCAAAAAAATCTCCTTGTGACGTCAGCCTTTCCCCGTCTTCAGAAAAATGTCAGGGCACCCAGGGAAGCAAGAAGGGCTGAGCGTTATCTCTTTAACAGAGGTTTGAGCTGCCTGCCTCACTGCAGCAAGAAGAGACTTGTCTGTGCGTAGCCAGCCAGGAGGTTCTTTCTTGTTTCCACCTTTGTGTTCCAACTTGTGCCCAGCTCTTTGCCCTGGGACCCATTCCTTGCCCATTCCTGACCCTGCAGGTGGAGCCTCCCAGGCTGGCTTCTGCCTGGGCTCAGCCAGAAGGAGCCTTCGGTGGGAGACTGTGTGTCCATCACCCTGGATAGGAGCCCATGGCCCTCAGCACTTCCTGCAAGACCTGGTGTGGGTGTTCCAAGTGGGGCTTGAGGGACTGGGAAGGAGTCACTCCACATCCAACTCTGCCTTCTTGGAGGAAAATTCCACAACTTACACCAACTGTGAGCAAGTCCCCATGTCCCCCCAGCACATCACATCTTTGAGTAGTGACACTGCAAAGAAAGTGAGCCTGAAGCCAATACCTTGGTCCTTCAGCAAAGCCTTGATATTTCCAACGTGCTTCCCTGACTCTCCCCATGCAGGCAAAGCACTGTTGCCTGACATCTGGGCTGGAGACCCCAGTGCCAGAGAAGTCTTCCCTGCGTCCCTCACCACTATCACCACCTCCGTCTCCACTTTCACTCTCAGGATGTTGGTGATGGGGGTGGAGACAATGAGGAGGAGGAAGACGGTGAAGCAGGTGATGATGGAGGTGAGGGTGGTGATGATGGAGGTGATGGTGGTGGTGATGGAGGCGAGGGTGGTAATTTGGGACCCATCACCCCCGGCTCATGACTAAAAGCTATGTGACTTCTAGGGTCAAGTTGTCCAACCTCTGTGTGCTTCAGTGTCCTCAGTGATAAAATGAGGATAAAAAGGGATTGATCTCATTGGGTTGCTATGACAATTAAATGTCTAGGTAGAAAGATGGTACTCTGGCCATTGATGACACTCAATAACTGCTAACTATTAGTGTCATTGTCATCATCCCCCTAGTCACAGTGCTTGATCAAGGATCCCCACGAGAGTCCAATCAGAGTGAACCCCGGCATTTTACTAGGACCGTCTCGCTGGGGTCACTGCCCTGGCAGAGTGTGATCGGGCAGCTTCAGTTCCGGGCCATTTTGCCCCAACCTGCACCCCAGTCCTTTCATTCTACGTTCGCCAGTTGAGTTGGGTTTAGGTTCTTCACAACGGAAAGGGCCCCAGTGGATCCATGTGAGCTTCTGCTGGGCCCTGAGGGCAGGTGATAAGTGAAGCATGAGCCATGCAAGGTCTGAAGGGTGAGGGAAGGAGGGAGAAGAGGACGTGGCCATGGGCAGCAGCTTGAGCTTCCTTACACCATGGTGGCCAGGTTCCAGAATTGGCCCATCTCTCATTCCCTTCCAGACAGGGGTCGCCGTGTACACCCACACAGGTTGTACACTGCATAACTTCGGGAGACGCCAACCTTCAGCGCTTAGGCTTTCCAGCCTGTATTTGGAGTAACAATTTTCAGCCCAAATATCTAAAGGTCAGCTCAGGTCAGGTTAATCATCAATTCTCTGGAACCACCTGAAACAAGGCTTAAAGAGTAACCTGGACAAGCAGATAAGGAAATCCAGGGGCAACAGATATCTGCGGAGACAGGCAGGAACCAGATGAGAGAAGCACATGGTGGAAGGGAATAGGGAGTGGTGAGGATAGTGGCAGGGAAGTACGGACTCTGCCTAAAGGTGTTCAAATGCCTTGACCTTCCACCTGCCAAAAAAGTGAGCCCCCAGCAGAATTCAGGTCAAGTTCAGAATCTTTGAAATAGAGACACTGTGCCTTAAGCAAGGATGGAGTCTTATGTGTCCCACAGAGAGCCCAGCAGAGCAGGTGCTCGGTAATAACACTGACCTGGGTTAACCTGAGACTCGAGACCTCGTGTGATCTCTGAAGGACCAGAAAATAGGGCTTCTGCGTACGAGTCCAGATAGTTATAAGTGCAACAGCTGGTGCGTATGGAGTCCTGTCTACACTCCAGGACTCGTAAACACTGTTGGAGAGACATCTACTGCTTACAAATACCTGCGAGCTCCTCTCACTTCCTAGCCCTCTAGTGTTTTGGGGACCCATGTGGCTGCTCTGCCCTGTGTCACTTCAGGGCCACCGCATGACGGGTTGGGGCCTTCCCTCCCAGCCCCCTCTTACACGGCTCGGGCAACCGACGCCATTCCAGACAGTAGACCCTCCACCGGCCTGGGTCCCTGAATGACCATGTGGACAGGAATAGAATGAGCCTGTGAGAAGCGCTGCACTTCCAGCTCCACTCGCACCGTAAGCTAGCCTGTCGTGGCTAAGGCCTGGGTGCTCACACACAGCTCAAGGCAGTGGAGAGGGAAACAGCTCCGAGAGCAGCCACCGCCCCTCGGAGCCCGCGTGGACGTGCACCTGAGCCCCATTCCGGTGGCTTCTGAGCGCCCCCGCCCCACCCTCCAGGGCTTATTTGCTCAACCTCCCTCCCGTGTGCTCGATAGGCTCCTCCGGCCCGAGTCAGCGGAAGCTGAACTTGGGTGTCTGCCGTTTGCAAGAACAGCCAAAGAAAACCTGACAGATCCAACGTTGTCCTGCTCTCCTCTGGGTTCTCCATAACCGAAGGTAAGTTCTGGAGTTCCAAGGAGCTCAGGAAGTGTTTGCTGGATAAACAAAGAAACCAAGCGTGGCACGGGTGCCTGAGAGCTGCCGGGGCCGGACGCCTCAGGGGCCACTCCCTGCCTGAGGAGGTGGTTGGTGGCATCAGCCCTGACTGAGGGGCAGCCAGGAGCCTGGGAGGGAGTATCAAGCTTCAAGGCGCAGGGAACCAGAGAACCCGGGCCCCATCCCCTTTGCTGTGGCTTTCATGGGCTTTTGACAGGTAATGGGGTCGTTTCAGATGCACTCTTTCAGTAAGATGTGCTTGTGGCGGAAGACTCAAACTGGATTGAGCAAAAAGGGAATATATTGAATCATGTGTATGTGAAGTCCACGCATAGAACTGGCTTCAGGTACAGCTGGATCCAAAGTTAAAAATGTTAGATCTCAGTCCCCTCAGTCTACTTGCTCAGTTGTCCTCCCTGTGGGATGCAGTCTCTGGCAGGCACTCCCCTTGTGATGGCAAGACCCCAGCTGACACCTGCCTGCCCCCAAGACCTGAGGGAAAGAGGGAACCTCCCTTCCATGGTCACCACCAAGGCCCTGGGTCATGTGCCCACCCCTGGACAAATCACTGGGCACATAAATGGGATGTTCCAACTGGCAAGGCTTGAGTGACACACTCATACCTGGAGCCAGAGATGACGTTAACACCTCCTTAATTTCATGGACTGAGTACAGGAGAGGAGGGATCCCCCAGATGAAAATCAGGGCGCCAGCACCAAAGACGGGCTACACAACGGACGATGGACGATGCCCACTGCCCACCAAATAGCCATCCACGCCCCTCTTCCTGGCTCACAGAGCCCCATGTTGTTCCTTCAGAGGCAGAAACCCCAGGACCACAGGAAAGCCCGACCCCCAGCCCCAGCCTTATGAAAAATCATATTGGGTTGAAGACAGTCAGTAAACCCACCCCTCTTTGCCAGATTTTCACTTTCCCAGCTTCCTTTACAACAGTTAATGGCCATGAGACACACTATTCTGGTGATGAGAACTCCTGGGATTTGGCATCACTGTTGCTTTCCTCTCCTCATGGGGTGCTGGAGTTGAGGCCATAATGGCTGGAACTGCAGTGATCATTTCATATCAATAAAACATCAAGTAAGATAAATAAAAGCCAATGCTATAAGTAATGTTCTATTTCTTGATTGTTACATGGGTAACACTGAACACGTAACATTTTATGAGAATGCTGTTGAGCCCTGCACTTTTCCAGCTGGAGACAATTAAGAGTTGCAACTAAGAATGGCAACCTGGCTTTGTGACCACCTAGAGGGGTGGGATAGGGAGGGTGGGAGGGAGGGAGACGCAAGAGGGAAGAGATATGGGAACATATGTATATGTATAACTGATTCACTTTGTTATAAAGCAGAAACTAGCACACCATTGTAAAGCAATTATACTCCAATAAAGATTTAAATAAATAAATATGGTTTCAGGAGGAAAAAAAATATGAATGAGCACAATAATGAAATTCTTTTACACTTATTATTTTGCTGTCTGCTTTGTACCAGTTTCCATGGAAATACTTGTCTATATATATTGTGGCTACCTATACATTCACACTGATTGAATTTTGTTGCTTGTTATGCATTTTTACTGATATATCTTCTCCGTCTGTATGTATTGGCTAGTAATTCATTCAAAATCACCTTCTATCGTGTTTTTTGGTTAATAGTATTCACTAAAATAGAGTGGGCAAAATTCACTTTCATAATATTGCATGTATGGTACAGAATGTCATTTGTTAGTAAATTCATTATGCTTTGATACTTGCCACATACCCCACTTTTCATTAATAACTATGTATTTCTTGTTCATTATGTAATATGTTTTTCATGATTTTTCTTTGTCTTTCTAGAACTTATTGTATCTTCCTCCATATAAATCATACGCAATATAAAAACAAAACAAAACAACAAAAAAAAAGAATGGCAACCTGTAATAAGAACACCTACAAAGAGTCTTGTGTTAGCTCACCTAAGAGATTAAATGAGTTAATGCAGGAAAAGGATTTGGAACCACATCTGATAGATAAATTCTCAAAAAGCGATGGCTATTAGTGCCCTTGTCACCATCACCACTGCTGCACCACCACACGGTGCTCCCTCCATGGGGAGCTTCTCCCGGCCCTACCTTTCTCTCCAGGTACCGTCCCACATCATGTTCCCCTTCACTGTCACACTCATTGAAAGAGGCGCCTGTGCTTCCTAACCTCACACCCACAGCCAACCAGCCATGGCAGAACCTGGTAACTTCGAGTGTAATGACTTGCTAACTACCCACCTCCAGTACTGACTGCAGGCCCCCATGGGCCAGGTCTGTGCCCCTCGAGGTCACCACTGCCTCTGCTGCACACACAGATGTCCTGAAAGTCACTGAAGAACCAACAGCTGGTTCCCACAGGCTGGCAGAGCAGAAACGTTTCAGTCCCTGACCGCTGGGCTCATCACAGTCCATGCCTGAGGCACCCAGCTGTAGCTGAGGAGCTATGTGAGGTCTTCTCTGAGCCTGGCTGCTCGTCCCCTCTACCCTCCTCATCCCCATCTGCATCAGTCAGCTAGTCCACAACATGCTGAGTAACAAACAGCCCCAAGATCCCAGCTTCTTTGGACAATAAGTGTTTATGGTTCATGTGTTTGGACATTGGCTGGACTGCTCATTTCAGCTGGACTCACTCTAGGATGGGCATGCCCAGCACTGTAGCCAGGGCACTCAGTCCTGGGTGTGTCTCACCCTCCCTATCCTCCTGGGTCCAGTGGGCTAGCCTGGGCACGGCCTTCTCACGGCCCTGGCGGAGGCATAAGAGAGCAAGTGGAAACACACAGGGTCTCTTGAGTCTAGGCTCAGAATGGGCACATGGCCACTTCCATCCCTTCCATGGACCAAGGCGAGGTTGTAGGGGCCTCTAGGAGGGGGTGCTGGTAGGGGAAGCAACGCACCCCCTTCAGGGTAGCAGCCTGTAGTCATTTCTTGTGGCCACAAATGGGCAGCTTAAAGCAACAGAAACTCACTCTCTCCGAGTTCTGGGGGCCAGAGGTCTTAGATCAAGGT